GAGAAATGACTGTGAAAAATTTCTCGAAATTTTCCGATCTCTGTCGGAATGTGCTCGAAAAGAATTTTTCATCTGATGGGAAATTATTTGAGTTTTGTTATACGCAGGATGATTCCTCGCAAAAGAAATAAAAAAAAATATATATGTATATATATATATATTTTTTTATTCTATATGTACAAGCATTTTTATAATTATATTTATATATATATATAAATATTTTTATAAATATATATATATATTTTTTTATTTTATATATAGAATAAAATTTCTCGATTTGAGAAAATCAACTTTGATTCATCAGGTACGCTTGAATTTAGCTAATTCTAAACAGACAGAATAATTAGTGGGAGGTTATCCTACGTACAAAAATAAGTAAAGAATGTTGAATAAATTCTTTTCATTTAAAGCTTCATTTTTTTGAGAAAATGTGAAACTTGGTAAATTTCCAAACTCGATTCCCTCGAAAACAAAGTATCTTGCACATGTTTTACTTATTTTCGCACGTGAAATAATCATCTGTTAATTCTGTGATTGAAATCTTCAAATTCGATTTTCTCAAACAAAGTCTCGAAGTTTTTGCAAAATTTTAAACAAATTTTTAAATTGGAAAGATTTTGTTCCATATTTCTTTTTTATTTTTTTTTTTTTTTATGAAGAATCATCCATTCCGTATATGATAGAAAATTATTTGTAACGAGTAGAAATTTCATTTTTGTCCTACGTTACAACGAATTTAAATAATAATTATTCATTGTTCATTACTATAATCTCTCCTAATTTCTTTTTTTGTAATCTTCTAAAAAAAAAACACACAATTATACAAAGACAATTATTTTATCCATTTCAAAAATATTATATACTTCAAATTTCTAAGCTTAGTAATTCGTGATAGAATACAAATTCCGCAAAAGGAAAGAAAAGCAAATTTTGACGTACTCCGTGTCGTTTGATCTTCGATTGTCATTGCCTCGATCACGTTACGATCAACTTCCGGCTGGCAGTCAATATCCTGAGCAACCGTCGAATAAACGACACGAAGGCGAGCAGCTGCTGGAAAAACGGAATATCTCGACGCTCGGGGAAACAAGCTGCGATATTCGTTCCCGGTGTCAGAATTCCCGGCGATCCTCCGGGGAACTGGCGACGGTAACAACATATTCACCAGACCGTATACGATTTTATTCCGTCGCTAAGTCCTCGAATCTCTGCGGGGCTGCGACTCTGCCGCGTGTCTGCGAACCCGCTCGTTCTCGATACGCAGCCGAAAAGAAAGAGCAACGGCGAAGTTTCGGGAGTTACTGCGACTCCTCCTAATCCCGGCGTCGATGACGATGCCTCCGACCAGCATTTTTACGGCCGAGGGACACGACTCGCTCGAACAACGCTGCTCTTCTTCCTTCTTTTCACGCATTCTCTGTTCAAGAAATTTGTTGCAGAGTGTTTCAAATTTATCATGCACGATTGAAGTGTAATTGGAGAAACTTGTCGATAATTTCAACTAATATAACTAATATAACTAATATAACTT